TTCCTCATTTAATTTCTGCATTTTCAAATCCAAAGATAACATTTGCACCTGCAGCATTATGTAGTTGACAAATATCGAAGATTTTTGTTTTAATTCATTATTAAGGAAGGCCTTTTCATAGATTTTATATATGGTTCTCAATTGATAGGTTTCTATGTGCTCAAATTTGAATTGTTTGTTGCAGAAATCTTTGCATTCGGTTAAAGGCATACACAGCTCTATTAGTTTCAAACTGGTGTCCACATGTTCCTTGTAAATCATGCCTGCTTTTAAGGGTTTTTCTATAGTTCTCATAAAAAACCATTTTTATAATTTGATAGACTTTTTGTAGGATGGCAGAATCTATCTCCAAGTTTTCTTAAAAGCCAAATCCATTAAGGGATACATGAGTTCTTTTTATCCATATTAATCTCCAAATTGTCTTTAAATATTCGTTAAAGGATTATTACGTTCAACACTAAGGCCGCCAACTTAATGCAAGATTTAGTTAGTTTTCTTTCTTTGAAAAAGGATTCAAAGAACTTGCTGTCCAATAAATCTATAAACTGATGATTTATTATTAGGAAATTATAAAAAGAGTCCTCCAAAAGTTCCACATTAAAATCTCCGGAAAGTTTTTAAAGAAATTACAATAGATTTTGCTAAACTTCTTAATAAATTCCGAACATTTTATAGAGTTCTTTAAATCCGCCAAACGTTGCAGCACAGCAACCACCAAGGAGTAATAAATAGTTTTTTGATTGTTGTTTCTATTAAGAAAAAGTCTTTGTAGGTTAAATTGTCGGCTAACAGGTTGAGTATATCCCGGCATTGTTCAGCTGATAACTGGAAGGCTTTGAAGAGGTTTAAAAACTCCTCAAAATGTTGTGAGTTGGCTTTCACTTCATCCTTATTGTTAAGGAAATAGCAACCGCCTTAACCAATTTCAATTTGAAATTTTCCGCATACAAATCAAAGTTTTCCAAGGAATGGCAATGTTCAGTTAAAAGATTAAGGAACAGGAGATAATTTTAAATGAGTCCTGCATAAAATCCACCGATAACAATTCATTTGATTTGATCGCATGCAATCTAACGCCATAGATATATTTCAATAATTTGTGTGCGAATAATTCATTATTTAAGGCATGATCTTCCTCATTTAAGGGAGCATCTTCTTGGGCAGGGAAACGCAATATCATGTCTATACATATCTTTACAAATTCAGCACATTTTTCTGCCTGCTGTTGCGACAACATTTGTTTCAACTGTAATTGTTGCACCTCAAACAAAACATGTTGTATATAGATCATTAGCAAACGAGGATTTTGTATGAGTCGTGAGAACTTCTTCATATTTCCCTTAAACTCCACTTCACAGACATCTTCCTGGGATTTACTTTCGAAAATTTGTTCAAAATCTTTTTGTCCATTAAGGCCAATGAAGAGACTTCCTTAAGGCAGGGTATTACTTTGCTAGATTTACTATCCACAAATAGAAGAGTTTCCTTACACGGTTCTTTACTGAGCCAATTTTGCATATAAGGCAACATGGATTTAAAAATGTTGGGCGTACAAAGTCATAGCGCTCTCTGCTGAGGGATAGTAGTGGTACATTAAAAAGCAAACAATTTCCAAATATCTGCTTAAAGGAGGTTCGATTTCTACTCCTTTGTATATCAAAGGCATTAGTTTGCTAATAGTTAAGGTTTCCACATAGGCTTGTACAGATAGACCTTGTTCTATGTTAGAGAACAAAGTATGTAAATTATCTGTATTAGCCGCCAACTCTATAGATTTAGGCATTTCCACTCAGCTTTAGTTACCTAAAAAATAACAAGATTAACATTGAAAACCCTTTAAAAACGTAAAAATTATTTAGTATATACCTTTAAAACTTCATTAAACACCTGGGCCACCACATTAACCGTCTCCACATCGACAAATTTTAAAGCTCTAGCCACAAATCTATCTCCAGTTCTCCCGCCTCAAAAATGCCGGTATTTTTAAATATATTCCGGAGTAAAGCTCCCGCCTCACGACTTACTTCCTCCTCACCATAAACAAAAGCCTTAATGAAAGATCTCAAAACACTGCTAAAACGTTCTTTTTGCGGTTCCAACGCCTTGGGGAACAACCATAATATAGTTTTTATAGCTTTCATTTCTAATTTAATATTGGTTTTTATTTTTGCTTCCCCTGCTATCTCTTGCTCCTCTTCCTGGGCATATAAAGGTCTCAGCAATTCTAAATAATCCAATATAACTGAAGTTTTATTAACAAACGTGCGGTTTTCTTGGCATAAAATCAATATTAAATCCAAGGCCACATCCAAATGGGCCAAAACATCTACACCCTCTTGCTCCTTTAAAGTGATGGGACATATTTAAAGACATTAATATATTCTCCATAGTGGGGAAATTCATTAATAAATGATTTAAAATATCAAATTTAAAACGTCTCAAAGAATTGGAATTCTTATTCTGTTCTCTTTGATTGATGATCTGCATATAGTTGGTATACTGTTGGAACATGGCCAACAGCAAGCGATTAGTGGCTAAACGTTGTTCAAAGTCTTTGTGTAATAAAAATTTATTGCCATTAATATGCACCAAAGCCTCCAAGGGTAAACAAATGTCTTTAATCCAAAAAGAAAAATCAGTTAAGGTGATTTATCCAGGGCACCCTTAAGATGACTAGGATGACAGGCTGTTATGACTTTTGTCAAGAATTCTGCTGCCTTTAGCCAATAGCGAGAGGCGGTACGTAATGGATTTATAATGCCAGCAAAATTACGCACAGAATTACGGAAAAGATCTGGACAGGATTCGAGGATTTTCATAACCAAGTCGGTTTTGCGTTCATCGGCATGAGGGATATACATATAGCCCATAATTTGACCTGTAAAAGGGGGGAGGAAGATAAACAATTAATAATCTAAAGATATAGTGAAGTCTGCCATAAAAATGTTAGACAAATTTATGTCTCTACATCTTAACTATTTTTTGCAACACTCACCTTGTATAGTATTATGTTTCTGACGGAAAAACTTAACCGTATCAAAAGCAATACCAAATTTCCTCGAGGTCAACAAAACCAACAAAAATTCATGTACAGCTTTCGATACTGCCTCCTTCTCCTGAGGATTTATTAAATGTTCCATTTCAGCAACACTAACATTCTTGTTGGCTCCCTTTTTACCCACATGCTTGGCAGCAAAAACCCTAGGTCCCTTCCAGTCATACAACTGAACAAATGACTTACAACAATCCAAATCAAAGACATGAATCTTTTTAGTTTTGGAAATATCCGGACATTCAAGAACATATTTCTTGAGTGTACTCAAAACTACACACACTGTAACAGAATCATCATAGGGAAGACCAGCAGCTAAAGCTCTAATTAGAGAACCACGATCTAGTATATTGCGTATAAGCAAAGTATTGCCATCTACTAAATAGGCCAGAACAAAGTGTATGAAACATTTACGCACTGTTTCGAAATCTTGATCAAACTTCTGCTGCTGTTGTTTTTGTTGTTGCAGTTCAAATTGGGAGTGCGAAAGAAATTGAGTAATATTCTTTACATTTGATAGAATATCATAGGAAGAGAGAACCTGACGACCCAATTGGGGTTCTACACACACAATGGCGGTTAAAAGTTTTAAGGCCACTTTACGATGATTAAATTGGGCTGATTTTAAAAGCAGTTCCAACAGCGAGCCATGGGATTTTAAAAAATAACGTGAAGCATGTACTGCCGATTCCATATGATTACGTTGATTACTTAGAATCTCCATAATAACCAATTGCAAAGCTTCACAAATATAGGCAATGTGTAAAATATTCGTTTATCAACACGCTCTAAGGCCTCAGCAAATTCCAAAGGTTTACCACGTTTCTCTATGTATTTGGCAATAGTCTGAGGACGTGACTGACACAGATAAAGAAAATGTCTTAATTCTGCAAAATAATCAAAATAATATTAAAAATTTTATTTATAACTAAAAAAACTTACCTGTGATAAACTTATCTCCTCTTAACTTGGTGCGGAACTCCATCATTTTGAAATCTTTTGAAAACTTAATTTCTTTTTCCTCTGTATCGAAGCCGGAATCCTGTGGCGAGTCTTCCATTGCTTCTGAGGAGTTGTTTAAATTTTTCTTTTTAGTTTTCTCTTTTTTAGGAGTTGTTGATTTCTTAGTTTGCTTTTTGGGCACCACCTCGGCACCTTCATCTTCTTGCGGAGCACTTTCATCATGCTTTCGTTTTCTTTTATTATTCACTTCCACTGCCATTCTTTAATGATTTCTTTATAGTGTTTTATACGTTTTAGTTAAATTTTCTTTAAAAATTATTTAAAAATCTACAAATAACACAAATTCCTTTGAAAAATATTAAATTTATTCCACCAAGTGCCCTGCACGTGTTGTTTTGTTTTCTTCTTTGCCGCAAACTACAGAGATGTAAGCTGTGCATTTGAACGTCGACAAAACTAGCCGTCATGGTATTTATTTATTAACGACGTTAAAAATAGTTCAAATGTAGTTTATAATATAAAATAAATGTTTATGCGGTTTTTCGCTATATTTTACGGCGAATCTAGGAGCAAAATCATGCCCATAAGAAATACATATGTATATATAAGTATTCTTGGACAAATTTTGCAAACAGCAAGCTCAAAAACTTGTATTGTATAAATGTTCCTATACTTTGTTGTTGTTAGAATCGATTATGTAAATTTTTTAATTTATCCATTAATCATTCATTCAAATTGTTATAAAAACATTAAAATTCATTCTAATGTTAATTAAAACATTGGAATGAATTTTAATTGAATTTTAACAACTACTACATGCAAATACAACCTTGTGTTTACAATTGTTTTGTTTACAAACAACAGCTGTTTGTGATGCCACTCATATGTCCTCCGTGTTATCACTAATGCTGCCACTATTAAGAATTTAATAGCAGCGCTGCCTAAATATTCTAATTGTATTTTTTTTTTTTTGTTTACACTCGATTGTTGTTGTACAATTTTTTTCAATTCATTCATTAATTAATTAATCGCTGAGCACTAAAGCGTTTTAACATTTCAACCCTCTTATTTTTAATAAAATCCATTAAAATTAAATCTAATGTGAGTTATAATTACAATAAAGCGACGAAAAAACTTAAAATTAAATAACAAAATCAATTAACGTAACCAACCTGTGCTATTAGCAACAACCACAACAACACAAAATCTATACTAGACAAATTTTCAATGAACTTTATAAAATTCCAAAAACTTTTGGAAAATTTATGTTGGTAAATTTTCGTCTAAGATTTATGTTTCTTTTTCTTGTGATCCTATGTATAATTGGTGTAATATTTACTCTATATCAAAAACCCGATATACGTTTGTGTTTTGTTGATTCTCCTAATGTAGTACAGTCACAAAGTGTTGGTAATGAGAATTCCTCGTCGGATTTTTGGGGTTTGGAAAAACTGGAAGATATTTTGCTGGCCAAAATACAGCCTACACCAGGTAAAAGTATATTTTTTCATGAAACCTCCTGTCCCCAATTGCAAAACAACTTAAAAACGTCCACCTCAGTTGATAAAGAGGCGTTTCATTGGCATATGGTGAAACTAAATGCTAGACAAGCTTGTGCTATAGAATCGGCTGCCCTTCACAATCCAATTCACAAGTATTTGTATTATTTGCTAGTCCTCGCTATAAGTATAATAATAGTAATCGTAATAGTAGTTCAGCGGGCCCAGAAGTAGCTTTGATAGATGCTATCTTAGCCTATCAAAATGTTCATTTGAGAAATCTAAATTTATGGACCTATGCAGCTAATACACCCATTTATGATTGGTTGAAGGATGGAGCATTGTTTAAGTCTAGGTAAGTACAGGGCAGTTACTGTCTCTATTCATAAAGGTTTAATTTAGTTCTTGATATATGTAGGTACCTTCCATCTATTATCAAATTTGGACTTTATCAATCTATATTTTGCGTTGCACTTTCGTTCTACACCTCTTACTCATAATATGTATAACAAATTAATGTATCAACAATAAAAAAGTTTACAAATACAACGCAAATATGTGTTGTACAAAACAAAATGCATATTTTTATAAAAAAAAAAAATTATACAGTGGTCGATAGAATAGATCATGTTATATTGCGGAATATACTATAGACTAGTTTCTAGACTAAAGTGTATATTAATCGATGGATTAGACTATAGTCGAGACTAAGGACAATACTATAGACTAGACTATAGAATAAAATATGGACTAGACTACACTATAGAATTGACAGTAGACTAGACTATAGACTAGACTATAGACTAGACTATAGACTAGACTATAGACTAGACTATAGATTAGACTATAGACTAGACTATAGACTAGACTATAGACTAGACTATAGACTAGACTATAGACTAGACTATAGACTATAGACTAGACTATAGACTAGACTATAGACTAGAATATAGACTAGAATATAGACTAGACTATAGACTAGACTATAGACTAGACTATAGACTAGACTATAGACTAGACTATAGACTGGACTATAGACTAGACTATAGACTAGACTATAGACTAGACTATAGACTAGACTATAGACTAGACTATAGACTAGACTATAGACTAGACTATAGACTAGACTATAGACTAGACTATAGACTAGACTATAGACCAGACTATAGACTAAACTATAGACTAGACTATAGACTAGACTATAGACTAGACTATAGACTAGACTATAGACTAGACTATAGACTAGACTATAGACTTGACTATAGACTAGACTATAGACTAGACTATAGACTAGACTATAGACTAGACTATAGACTAGACTACAGACTAGACTATAGACTAGACTATAGACTAGACTACAAACTAGACTATAGACTAGACTATAGACTAGGCTAAAGTCTAGACTATAGACTAGACTATAGACTAGGCTAAAGACTAGACTATAGACTAGACTATAGACTAGGCTAAAGACTAGACTATAGACTAGACTATAGACTAGGCTATATACTAGGCTATAGACTAGACTATAGACTAAACTACGAAATATTTATTCTATGGAAAACTGTAGAAAATGTTTTCCCATCAAAAGTTTTTCCCAAAATTTATTTTTAACCTAAAATTCTATCATTGTTTAAATATTTTTTCTCTTTTTTCTTTTTTTCACAGTTACGTCCTCTCACACATATCGGATTTTTTACGTTACTTAACCCTCTGGCGTTGGGGTGGCACCTATCTAGATATGGACATTGTCATGTTGCGTTCCATGGAAGATTTGCCACCCAATTATACAGGCGCTGAATCTAATACTCATTTAGCAGCTGGTATTATGAACTTTGACTCTGACGGATTTGGTCATGAAATTGCCTATCAATGTTTGCAAAATTTTCAACAAACTTTCGACGGCAGCAATTGGGGCAATAATGGTCCGGGTGTTATAACAAGAGTTATAAAAAATATTTGCGATACTGATAATATAGAATTAATGATGGATACTAAACGTTGTATGGGTTTTAAGGTATTTGGCATAGACGCATTCTATGCCATACCCTGGCTTCAATGGGAACATTTCTTTGAGCCGGAACTATTAGAGCAAACAATGAGACGTACACAAAATTCCTATGTGGCTCATATATGGAATAAACATTCGATTAAACGACCCATTAGAGTAGGTACAAAGTGTGCATATTGTTTAATGGCTGAAATGCATTGTCCTCGTGTTTATAAGGCAGCTGGTGAATATTTTTAAATGTTTTGTGTAGTTTTTAATTTTGTTAAATTAGTTTAATTATGGTAACTATATACAAAAATACGTGTAACATCACATTCCCTACTATCCCTATTATTTTAACATATAACTTGTTTTTATTAGTTACATTTTTATTATTTGTTTAATATTTCTATGTTTTCGTATTAAGAATCTCAAGAATAATTTTGAATCTCACAAATATTGTTTTTAATTTGTTTAATCGAATCTCAAAAATTTTGTTTTAATTTATAACCATTAGCCGAACTTCATATTCATATTTCTTTTTGAAAATATTTGAAAACCAAAGCAATTTTTTAATGGACGCTTATGTATTTTAAATTTACTATATATTGTATGTACGTCTATATATTTATACATATATTTTTTATATAATTATATGTATAATATTGTTTTATTTATAAATGTAGTACATAATTATTTGTTTTATGTAAGTGTAATAACAATTGTAGACAATATACTAAAAACTAAAAGATGAACAAAGATAATTTTAATAAAATATAAATCTTTTTTATAAGAATTGAAAATGTCTAATAATTTATAGATATTTCTAACACTTGGACTTTATCAATACTTTAGAAAAACATTTTGAGTTGAAATTTTTTTTATAAAGCTTTTACTCATAATACATAGTTACAGTGATAGATAGAGTAGATCCAGTTATATTGTAGAGTAGACTAAAGACTAAACGACCAAACTGTAGATTAATCGATAATCTAGATTATTGACTTTATTATAGGATAGATTGTAGTATAAAATATAGAATTGAACATAATCTAGACTATAGACTAGACAAATCTGTAGACTGGCTTTTTGAGTAACCATAGAATAACAAGAGACAATATTATGGACTAGAATGTCGACTATAGACTAGGCTATATACCACACTATAGAATATTCTTTGTACTAGACTAAAACTGAAGCTTAAGACTATAGACTATAAACAAGACTATATTCTAGACTACAAACTAGACTATAGCAAAGACTATGGACTAGATTATAGACTTGACTATAGACTATAAACAAGACTATATCCTATAGCCTATAGACTATAGGCAAGACTATGGACTTGATTATAGACTAGAATATACTATAGACTAGGCTATAGACTAGAATATAGACTAGACTATAGACTAGGCTATAGACTAGACTATAGACTAGACTATAGACTATACTATAGACTAGACTATTGACTAGACTATAGACTAGACTATAGACTTGACTATAGACTGGACTATAGACTAGACTATAGACTAGGCTATAGACTAGACTATAGACAAGAATATACTATAGGCAAGACTAGACTATTGACTAGAATTTTAACTAGTCTATAGTCTAAACTATAGATAAAACTATAGTCTAGACTATAAACTAGCCGATAGTCTATACTATAGACAAGATTATAGACTAAACTATAGAACAGACTATAGACTAGTTTTGTATTAACGTATAATATACTGAGACGGGATTTTTCTCATGTTTATTAAAGTAGATTCACAACAAGTGTTGTTGAAACTAATCTTACACTAGATCAGACTATAGACTAGATTATATACTAGACCATAGAATATACTATAGACCAGAATATAGACTAGACTATACTATACGGACTAAACAATAGACATATCATTTTCCTTTGACTGGTTTCTCTTAATTTTTGCAATATCTCTTAATTAATGTTCTCTTTCAATAAAAAATAATAAGCAATTAAATTTACATACCTTAAGTATTTTGTTGTTGTTTTGTTGCTTTTACAATTGAGCCTGTTCGGACAGGCTCAATGATTCGATTTATTTGTTACAGCAAAAACACTAACAACGAACGAAATGCGACGCAAAGTAAAGAATTTTTAAAACAAATCCAATCATGAAAGGCAGCGCCGCTGCTGCATATCAATTACACACTTAAATATTTGATACAAACCTAACTTTTTTAAAAAAAAAGGACTAATTTTATTAAAAGCTTCTTTTAAATTTTAAGAAAATTGATTTTAAACACTATTTATTGGACTTTAATATATTATATTCTACGTTTTTAAATAAAAAATTTCATAAAGGATTTAATTTATTTTCACTATTAAAAGAATAGATTTTTTTAATTTAATTTTATTTAAAAACGCTTTTTTAATTTGAAGGACACTTTTATTTCTGATTTTACTTTTTTATTACACTTTTTTTTTTATTAATTAATAATCACTCCCGACATTTTTCTATCACCGAACCGACTTAAATGAAATGCTGTATTAAAACTAATTGTTTAAGAATTAAATTGAAAAAGCAAGTGTCAAAAATTCAAGTTGATCGATTAACAGCAACAACAAACAAAAGCATCTTAATGAGTGAAAATAATGAAAGGAGCTTAATTTGAATTGAGAAAGTGTAAAGGAGAGCAAATAATGAAAAAGAAGGAGTAATAACAATTAAAGGAGCTTAATGTAAACAACTTTGAAGGGAGGCAGAAAACTTTATTTATATTTAGGTAGGATTGTAGTCCCTAGCGGATTATACGCTAGATTTCAGTACGGACTATAGCCTAGAATATAGTATATACTATAGCCCAGAGGGTAGTCTGGACTATAGTCTAGACCTATCATCTGAACTTTAGACTATAGTCTTTACTATAGACAAAACTAGAATATAGACTACATTACATACTATACTATAGACAAGACTATAGACTAGACTATTGACTAGACTATGGACTAGGCTTTAGACTAGACTATATATTAGACTATATACTAGACTATAGACTAGACTATAGACTAGACTATAAACAAGACTATAGACTAGACTATAGACTAGACTATAGACTAGACTATAGGCTATACTATAGACTAGACTATAGACTAGACTATAGACTAGACTATAGACTAGACTATAGACTAGACTATAGACTAGACTATAGACTAGACTATAGACTAGACTATAGACTAGACTATAGACTAGACTATAGACTAGACTATAGACTAGACTATAGACTAGACTATAGACTATAGACTATAGACTAGACTATAGACTAGACTATAGACTAGCCTAGACTAGCCTAGAGACTGGACTATAGACTAGCCTATAGACTGACTATAAACTAGACTATAGTCTAGCCTATAGACAATACTACAGAACAGAGTGAACTAGACTACAGGCTAGACTAAAGACTATACTATAGACTAGACTATAGACTAAACTATAGACTATAGACTACAGACTAGACTATAGACTAGACTATAGACTAGACTATAGACTAGACTATAGACTAGACTATAGACTAGACTATAGACTAGACTATAGACTAGACTATAGACTAGACTATAGACTAGACTATAGACTAGACTATAGACTAGACTATAGACTAGACTATAGACTAGACTATAGACTAGACTATAGACTAGACTATAGACTAGACTATAGACTAGACTATAGACTAGAATATAGACTAGACTATAGACTAGACTATAGACTAGACTATAGACTAGACTATAGACTGGTCTAGTCTAGTCTATAGTCTAGTGTATAGTCTAGACTATAGACTAGACTATAGACTAGACTATAGTCTAGACTATAGACTAGACTAATAGACTAGACTATAGACTAGTCTAGTCTATAGTCTAGTCTATAGTGTAGTCTTGTCTATAGTATAGTATATAGACTATATTCTAGTTAATAGTCCAGTCTATAGGCTAGTCTATAGTCTAGTCTATAGTCTAGACTATAGTCTAGTCTATAGTCTAGTCTATAGTCCTAGTCTATAGTCTAGTCTATAGTCTAGTCTATAGTCTAGTCTATAGTCTAGTCTATAGTCCTAGTCTATAGTCTAGTCTATAGTCTAGTCTATAGTCTAGTCTATAGTCTAGTCTATAGTCTAGTCTATAGTCTAGTCTATAGTCTAGTCTATAGTCTAGACTATAGACTAGCCTAGACTAGCCTAGAGACTGGACTATAGACTAGCCTATAGACTGGACTATAAACTAGACTATAGTCTAGCCTATAGACAATACTACAGAACAGAGTGAACTAGACTACAGGCTAGACTAAAGACTATACTATAGACTAGACTATAGACTAAACTATAGACTAGACTATAGACTAAACTATAGACTATACTATAGAATAGACTATAGACTACAGACTAGACTATAGACTAGACTATAGACTAGACTATAGACTAGACTATAGACTAGACTATAGACTAGACTATAGACTAGACTATAAACTAGACTATAGACTAGACTATAGACTAGACTATAGACTAGACTATAGACTAGACTATAGACTAGACTATAGACTAGACTATAGACTAGACTATAGACTAGACTATAGATACTAGACTAGACTAGACTAGACTATAGACTAGACTATAGACTAGACTATAGACTAGACTATAGACTAGACTATAGACTAGACTATAGACTAGACTATAGACTAGACTATAGACTAGACTATAGACTAGACTATAGACTAGACTATAGACTAGACTATAGACTAGACTATAGACTAGACTATAGACTAGACTATAGACTAGACTATAGACTAGACTAGAGACTAGACTATAGACTAGACTATAGACTAGACTATAGACTAGACTATAGACTAGACTATAGACTAGACTATAGACTAGACTATAGACTAGACTATAGACTAGACTATAGACTAGACTATAGACTAGACTATAGACTAGACTATAGACTAGACTATAGACTAGACTATAGACTAGACTATAGACTACTATAGACTAGACTATAGACTATAGACTAGACTATAGACTAGACTATAGACTAGACTATAGACTAGACTATAGACTAGACTATAGACTAGACTATAGACTAGACTATAGACTAGACTATAGACTAGACTATAGACTAGACTATAGACTAGACTATAGACTAGACTATAGACTAGACTATAGACTAGACTATAGACTAGACTATAGACTAGACTATAGACTAGACTATAGACTAGACTATAGACTAGACTATAGACTAGACTATAGACTAGACTATAGACTAGACTATAGACTAGACTATAGACTAGACTATAGACTAGACTATAGACTAGACTATAGACTAGACTATAGACTAGACTATAGACTAGACTATAGACTAGACTATAGACTAGACTATAGACTAGACTATAGACTAGACTATAGACTAGACTATAGACTAGACTATAGACTAGACTATAGACTAGACTATAGACTAGACTATAGACTAGACTATAGACTAGACTATAGACTAGACTATAGACTAGACTATAGACTAGAGACTATAGACTAGACTATAGACTAGACTATAGACTAGACTATAGACTAGACTATAGACTAGACTATAGACTAGACTATAGACTAGACTATAGACTAGACTATAGACTAGACTATAGACTAGACTATAGACTAGACTATAGACTAGACTATAGACTAGACTATAGACTAGACTATAGACTAGACTATAGACTAGACTATAGACTAGACTATAGACTAGACTATAGACTAGACTATAGACTAGACTATAGACTAGACTATAGACTA